CGTCGGTATCTTATTGATGATGGGTTTCAATGCTTTTATCGGAATTGTTATGTTTGCACGTTACTTTGGTTGCGATCCCATATTGGGAGGTGTAAGTAATTTAAGTTTTTATTAAAATATACTTTTGTAGTTATATGTTCTAAATTCTATTTCAGATTGTTGAAAAAGCTGATAAAATGATGCCCTTCTTTGTTCAAGACGTTATGGGCCACTTATCGGGCATGCCGGGTCTTTTCATTTCATGTGTTTTTAGCGCCGCCTTAAGTACGATGTCGGCCATGTTGAATTCCGTTGCAGGTGTGGTCTATTTCGACTATATTAAACCCTTTATTCGACATACAGATGCCCGAGCAAATAGTATAATTAAAATATGTGTTGTGGCCATGGGTTGTTATTGTATATTGGGCGGTTTTATAGTTCAGAGATTTACCTCAATTTTACAAACTATCATTACAATAACGGGCATAAGTACTGGAGCAGTAGTGGGGGTATTTCTATTGGGTATGTTTGTGCCGAGAGTTAATAGTAAGGTGAGGAAATTGTTAGATTTTAGTAGATACGATTTTGATATTAATTTCTTTATCTTCTTAGGTGGCTTTTCTTTCGATAGCTTTCAGTGTTGGTGCCATGTTATGGATAATTATTAATGCTCAAATGCGCTTTAAAGTCGGGCTTAATAAAATACGAGCCCCTGCCTACATCTTTGCACAGATGTGAGTCCCTAAATTTTCCACAAATGCTAAAAAATATGTAAGTTTTTTGGATCCAGTATAAAACTTTAAAATATTTATTAATTTTCTTAATTTTTTTAGCACCAGCACCCCTTTATCCCCAACTAACACTGAAAAACCTCTTGTTACCGGTACTTTATCGAGTAATCGTGAATTTTCAATTTATGAAATTTCCTTTTATTGGTATAAACTTTTGGGAGCCATATTTGTCTGGCTCTCGGCCATACCTATGACCTATATTTGGAAGCGAGATAAAGAGGAGAAAATGAATCCAAAATTATATTCACCATTTGTTAAGAGATTCCTAAGACAACCTGTTATCGAAACGGAAGAAGTGGTATATTTGAGGACCCAACAACCAATGGACGAAAATGCTACGATTTTAATAACTGAAAAAGGGAAATCGTAATATTATTAATAATTAAATAATATTAATTTTAAAATCAGCAAGATGTTTTTTTATAAATTACATAAAATAGTTTGTTAATTTATTTTAATTTTTTCTAAATAAACCAACTGAACCCGGTATATATGTATATACTGGGTACATAAAGTAATCTTTGGATAAAACTGGGTTTTAATTTCATGAGATAACCTAAACCTATTCTGTTAAATACTTATAAGTGGTAAACTTTTTGGACTGCAGTTTAGAAAATCAAATTTGGGAGTTTCAATAAATCGAATAATGTTAAGCCATCAACTGTGAAGGCCAAAAGTCAAATTAAACAATAATGGGGAACTTTCTTGAAATTGTAGTGCAACATTATAAAAATATATAATAACGATCCATATTTATTAAGCGCGACAAACGGTCAAAACACAGAACCAGAACAATGTTGCAATCGTAATATTTGAACCTCGCTCAGCACGTGAACCAATCGTATTACAATTGACTATGCGGTGGAGACAACTAGAAGCTGCACCTTACATATATAGACTCGTTAAGAGACTAACACACACCACTACTTTGAGCTCAACCAGGCATGGAAAATTCAGTACCTTTTACGGTCGGTACCCCACGACATTTTTGGTACTTTTTCTAACTTATAAACTTTCTATAAATAATACATATTTATATTAGTCAGTAGACCTGTCTGTAGTATAATCTATAGTCTAGTTTATAGTCTAGTCTATAGTCTAGTCTAGTCTATAGTCTAGTCTATAGTATAGTCTATACTCTAGTCTATAGTCTAGTCTAGTCTATAGTCTAGTCTATAGTCTAGTCTATAGTCTAGTCTATAGTCTAGTCTATAGTCTAGTCTATAGTCTAGTCTATAGTCTAGTCTATAGTCTAGTCTATAGTCTAGTCTATAGTCTAGTCTATAGTCTAGTCTATAGTCTAGTCTATAGTCTAGTCTATAGTCTAGTCTATAGTCTAGTCTATAGTCTAGTCTATAGTCTAGTCTATAGTCTAGTCTATAGTCTAGTCTATAGTCTAGTCTATAGTCTAGTCTATAGTCTAGTCTATAGTCTAGTCTATAGTCTAGTCTATAGTCTAGTCTATAGTCTAGTCTATGGTCTAGTCTATAGTCTAGTCTATGGTCTAGTCTATGGTCTAGTCTATAGTCTAGTCTATAGTCTAGTCTATAGTCTAGTCTATAGTCTAGTCTATAGTCTAGTCTATAGTCTAGTCTATAGTCTAGTCTATAGTCTAGTCTATAGTCTAGTCTATAGTCTAGTCTATAGTCTAGTCTATAGTCTAGTCTATAGTCTAGTCTATAGTCTAGTCTATAGTCTAGTCTATAGTCTAGTCTATAGTCTAGTCTATAGTCTAGTCTATAGTCTAGTCTATAGTCTAGTCTATAGTCTAGTCTATAGTCTAGTCTATAGTCTAGTCTATAGTCTAGTCTATAGTCTAGTCTATAGTCTAGTCTATAGTCTAGTCTATAGTCTAGTCTATAGTCTAGTCTATAGTCTAGTCTATAGTCTAGTCTATAGTCTAGTCTATAGTCTAGTCTAGTCTATAGTCTAGTCTATAGTCTAGTCTATAGTCTAGTCTATAGTCTAGTCTAAAATCTAGTATGTAATCTAGTCTATAGTATAGTCTGGTCTACAGTCGAGTGTATAGTCTAGTCTATAGTCTAGTATAAGTAAGTACTATTTCAAAATTTAAATTTTCCATGTCTGAGCTCAACACTATATCGATATGCTCTCTGCAAAGCAACGGGACAATCTTCCAAACTGTCCGACTCATTACAGCACAGCTCTTCATATACATATTTCCTGTGATTGTTGAGGTTTTGAAATCACAAAAGCACTGGAAGTGATGATTTTTGAGAGAATAACTAATTCTTCTCCCTATTGTTGAAGAAATATGAATATCGAATAGAATTCCAGAGGAGGGCTTTATAATAATACCAGAATAACTAGAGGAGAATCACTTTGCTAAGCATGGTTAGCAAGATCTTGACCCATATTCTAAAAAAAAAAGTATACTGGACAGTCCAATGCTGAGGTTTAAGAAACAACAATATGTATGTTGTGCTTTGATCACTTTAACTCTCTGAGAATAATAGTGTAGCAACCAGTTGAACTGAGTTCCCCATTACATCTGGAGAAGACTTTGAGAAGGCATTCATAGGCAGTATGTTGAATAGGATAAGTTCTAGACAGATCCTCATGAAGCATGACAGGGATATTTTGTTTCATATACAACTTGTTTAAGTCCAATATAATCGCTTTATTTTTATACCGTACTCCTCTATAGTGTTTATTAGGTTCGTGCTGATTTTAATACAAAAAAACAATTTTCGTTCTTAGTTTTTTTTTATATTTAAGGAACTACACAGCCCATTATACACATCTGATCCGTTATTATAATTTAATGTTTCTCCTATATAAGATCTTAATGTTTTTCTTATAGTAATCAACCGATTAGCCGACCCGTTGTTCGTCGCGGGCATTTTCTTTCTGAACATTCTGTTCAATTCTAATCAAAAACTTTCTCAAGTAACTACCGTGATGAAATTCATTTAAGTTATTAAAACATGTAAAATTCTCAAATAGCTGAAGAGATACGTCTCTCTTAAGATTATAAGTTAAAAAACATAAAAATATATACATACTGACATATTAAAGCCCTTACTTTATCTTTATAACCTTTTTACGTTACGATCATAAAACTTTATCACACTTCACAGATCCATCAAATTATTTACTCTTCTACTACGTATACGTCTTTATTTATTTTACTAAATACAATTATCAACTAATTATATTTTAGTAGATATTTGGCAGATTTTAATCGTCTTAAAAAACTGATGAGAATTTCGACTTCATGACGAAATTTTTGTGCTTTTGGGCGTGTTGCAAAATTTTAATAGAAATTATCTGATACAATATTTTCTTTAGATTTCTAAGAATTTTAAACTTGCGAATATTTGAATTTGTTGGAAATTAGAGGTCTTTTTCATCGAAGATATTGGGATCAAACTGAGATTCAGACTCAAGTTATTAAGGCATCGGCGATTAAGCGGGTGATAAATTGGACGGCAAGGACATTTACTAATAGCCATACTACAAAATAGTCCCTGATTGTTAAGTAAACTCGTATGTAAACATCGGTGATCTCTCAATGAAATAGCGAGACATACAATAATACACTCGCATGGGTGGAAAATACTTACTATCAAGGCTCCATTTTGAAAAATTTTGATATGGAATATTTCTGTGGAATTCCTCTTTTCACTTATAATCAACAGATGATCAAACTTCTACGATCCCGAAGGCATTATAATCTCTCTTTGAAATATAACCATCCTGGAACCAGGTATCACTGTTACCATGTACTTTAGATGTCACAAATTGATTTGGTTAAATCTTTATTGATTTCTTCATTTCCATTTTCAGAATTTCAAATAACAATGTGTGTATAAAGATGGTTATCTGAAATTCTGATAAACAGCCCAAATTATTCAACCAGAACTAATATCTAACATCCACAATCAAATGTAGATTGAAATGATTTATTAATTTGAATATTTACGTAGATATCCTCTATATGTAGATATAACCATTTAAGTATTGTAGTACCAACTTGTCTAATATTTAATATAATATAACCTTAGAATCGTAAAATGCAAATCCCTGCTAAACGTAAGAATACAAAATTCTACAAATCTATCTATATACACATTCACACCTAATCATTTCATTCATCTGATAAGATTTCTTTACTACATATCATTTCATCTTAATCAAATACAAACAAGAATTATTCATCTTTATTTAAGTTCAGAGCATCTATAATGTCAGAAAAGTTTAAGCTGTCGGTCTAAACGGGTCGCGACATTCATATATCCAAAATATACGAATACGGTTTTAATATAAACACAATTAAAATTTCGCCAATAACGGGAAATGTGTTAATAATTTAAACGAAATATAAAGAAAGAAATTTGTATTTAGTCCTGCAGAGATTATAAAATTTTAGTGTTTATAAAAATGTCTACAAGTATTGCAAGTACCGTAGCTACGGTAGCGGATATTGTACCAAAAAGTTTTACCTTTGGTACGATCGATTATATTGTATTCGTATTGATGTTGTGTGTATCGGCCGGTATTGGTGTTTATTTTGGTTTCTTTTCGAAATCCTCAAATACTACAGATGAATATTTAATGGGCAGTAAGAAAATGAAAACTATACCCATTGCAATATCCTTAATAGCAAGGTAAACTAACAAGAGGAAATAATGTTCTAAGGTTCAAAATTTTGAGTTAAATCCGTTATTGTTATACAGTGGTGGCGGAACGTCTCTGAAATATGATAATGCTTTCAAGACTATAGACTAGACTATAGACTAGACTATAGACTAGACTATAGACTAGACTATAGACTAGACTATAGACTAGACTATAGACTAGACTATAGACTAGACTATAGACTAGACTATAGACTAGACTATAGACTAGACTATAGACTAGACTATAGACTAGACTATAGACTAGACTAGACTATAGACTAGACTATAGACTAGACTATAGACTAGACTATAGACTAGACTATAGACTAGACTATAGACTAGACTATAGACTAGACTATAGACTAGACTATAGACTAGACTATAGACTAGACTATAGACTAGACTATAGACTAGACTATAGACTAGACTATAGACTAGACTATAGACTAGACTATAGACTAGACTATAGACTAGACTATAGACTAGACTATAGACTAGACTATAGACTAGACTATAGACTAGACTATAGACTAGACTATAGACTAGACTATAGACTAGACTATAGACTAGACTATAGACTAGACTATAGACTAGACTATAGACTAGACTATAGACTAGACTATAGACTAGACTATAGACTAGACTATAGACTAGACTATAGACTAGACTATAGACTAGACTAGACTATAGACTACACTATGTGTAGTTGTTGTTGCTGATGATTGGATGATACCCTCCACATATTCAACTGTCCAGCTCACCCTACTTCACTTAGCCCATTGGATTTATGGACTGTCCCTATTGAAGTAGCGAAATTTCTTGGCTTGGACCTAAATACAGAACCGCCGCATTAAAAAGTGTATAGTTTAAGACATTAGACTAGACATTATACTAGACTATAGACTAGACTATAGACTTGGTTAAAACTCCATCATATTTTATTCATTTTTTATATACATATGTTAGTTTAAACGTTTGGAAGTATATTCTGATCTCAGAGTTAAAAATTCGTGGGCTTGAGTTATTATTGTAATTAATCTTCCTTTTTATTAATATTTAATTTTCAGTCAACTTTCGGGTATTGCTATTATGTCAGTGCCAGCCGAAAGTTACTCGTTTGGTTTTACATATTTCTTTCTTGTATTATCCATAATTCCAGTAGTTCCAATTTTGAATTATATTATTGTGCCAGTATTCTACAACAATAATATATCAAATTGTTATGAGGTAAGTAGTTTAAAACTTAAAAAACTTTACAATTCTGATTAAGAACTTCTGAATGCAAATAATAACAGTCGAAATTGATCAAAATCTCCCTTTAAATTTCATAGATATGTCGATCGATAGTGAATGCTAAAATTTGACCACAGTTTTTAAAGAAATTTGAAATATTTTTATAATTTGATTATTTTTTGTTTGAACTTTAGTACTTACAATTGCGTTTCAATAAGCGTACGCGGCAAATAGTGACTGGTTCCTTCGTTTTGAATGCCTGCCTCATGTTACCCGTTTATATATTTGTACCGGCTTTGGCATTTTCTCAAGGTAAAATGGAAATAAATTTTTAATTCAATTATACTTTATTTGCCATAAACTAATGGATTAAAATTCATTTCCATTTACAGTGACGGGCATGAATATCCACTTAATTAACACCGTAGTATGTTCGATTTGTATGTTCTATACGATGTTGGTGAGTATTCCGAAAAATTTCGAGATCTTTAAATCAATTAATTAACTTGGTCTTCTCGCTTTCTATAGGGTGGTATTAAAGCTGTTGTCTGGACTGATGTAGTTCAAGCAGGTATTATGCTTTCTTCGGTGATATTAGTGGCTGTGTTAGGTACTCTTAAAGTGGGTGGTCTAAACAAGGTTCTAGAATATGCTGATGAGGGTGGTCGTCTGGATTTTTTGTAAGTTTTTTAAGATTAAGATTATTTATCTTATTAATTGTGTTTTTACTATTTTAGTTTCTCTATGGATCCTCGTGTACGTTCAACATTTTGGAATCTGTTTAGTGGTGGCATATTTTTATGGGTGGGTCATATTGGTTTAAATCAAAGTTGTGTTCAGAGAATTGTTTCTTTACCTTCACTGCATCAAGCTAGAAAGTAAGTTTATTATAACTTAGAGAATATCATTATTAATATCCAAAATTTCCTTTTCAGAGCCTTAATTATAGTTGGCATTGGTGTTTTTATTATAATGAGTTTTAACTCTTTCATTGGACTTATTATGTTTGCTCGTTACTTTGGATGTGATCCCATATTAGCGGGAGTAAGTAATGCATATATTCCCTGTTAACAAAGTAAGAGTCTGTCTATTCTAATTCCCAATTTTTCCAGATTGTTGAAAAAGCTGACAAAATGATGCCTTTCTTTGTGCAAGATGTCATGGGCCACTTGTTGGGCATGCCTGGTATTTTCATTTCTTGTGTTTTCAGTGCTGCCTTAAGTACCATGTCGGCCATGTTGAATTCTTTAGCCGGAGTAGTATATTTCGATTACATCAAGCCCTTTATTAGGCATACAGATGCTCGGGCCAATAATATCATGAAAATATTTGTGGTGGCCATGGGTTGCTATTGTATATTGGGGGGTTTTGTGGTACAAAGATTTAGTTCAATTTTACAAAGTATCATTACCATAACGGGCATTAATACAGGAGCTGTAGTAGGGGTATTTCTGTTGGGCATGTTTGTGCCGCGAGTTAATGGCAAGGTAAGAAATATTTAATTAAGATCTTGCCGACCGAGTCTAATTTTTTTTTCTATTTCCAAAGGTGGCTTTTCTTTCGATAGCATTTAGTGTTGGTGTCATGTTATGGATTATTATCCATGCCCAAATGCGTTTTAAGGCTGGTTATATAAAATACGAAGCCTTGCCCACCTCTTTGGAGCGCTGTGAAGCTCTCAATTTGCATGAAATGCTACAAAACATGTAAGTTTTTTTGTTTACTTAAAGCTGTATATTAAAAGTATTAACCTCTATTATATCTTAGTAGTACCAGCGCTCCCTTGTCATTGGCTACTACCGAGGAGCCTCTAATCACCGGTACTTTAGGTAGTAATCGTGAATTTTCTATTTACGAAATATCCTTCTATTGGTATAATATAATGGGTGTCTTTCTGGTATGGCTTTCGGCTATACCTATGAGTTATATTTGGAAACGTGATAAGGAGGAGAAAATGAATCCCAAATTGTATTCACCCTTCGTTAAGAGTTTTCTAAGTCAAACTGATGTCCAAATGGAAGAAATGCCTTTAAAAACACCTCACCCTTCTTTAGCGGAAAATCATGCCACAATTTCCATTTCAGAAAAGGAAAATGGAAATGATATCAAATTTTATCGAAATTATGATAATATTGTTTAAATTTTAATTTTACTAATTAACTGTTATGTTTATTATTAGTTTTTTATTTAATTTAAGATTTAATAAATTATTATTTAATAAAGAAAAGTAAAAGTTTGGTCTTTTACATTAGAATTGTCCAGATGTCGTCTGGGTGCCCATGGATTCCACCCACAGTATCATTAGTCAATACGGTCTATCTAAAAGATCCAAATCTTAAGAGCGACTGGAATCCAATGGCGAGGCGAGGTCAACCAGCTCATAGTATATACATACGTGGAAAAGGCAGCTTGAAAAATACATTGGAAAAAGCTTGTGATTGGATAGATCTAAATTTAAGGATTTTGTTGTGACCCTATGCTCCTCATATGAGTAAATAGAATATTTATAATAAGACCAATTCTAACTTACGCCTCTTTATTCTTTGAACTAGTTCAGTTTTAGTTTACTTCTAGTTCAGTTCTACTTCAGTTCTAGTTCAGTTCTAGTTCAGTTCTAGTTCTAGTTCAGTTCTAGTTCAGTTCTAGTTCAGTTCTAGTTCAGTTCTAGTTCAGTTCTAGTTCAGTTCTAGTTCAGTTCTAGTTCAGTTCTAGTTCAGTTCTAGTTCAGTTCTAGTTCAGTTCTAGTTCAGTTCTAGTTCAGTTCTAGTTCAGTTCTAGTTCAGTTCTAGTTCAGTTCTAGTTCAGTTCTAGTTCAGTTCAGTTCTAGTTCAGTTCTAGTTCATTTCTAGTTCAGTTCTAGTTCAGTTCTAGTTCATTTATAGTTGATTTCTAGTTCAGTTCTAGTTCAGTTCTAGTTCAGTTCTAGTTCAGTTCTAGTTCAGTTCTAGTTCAGTTCTAGTTCGGTTCTAGTTCAGTTCTAGTTCAGCTCTAGTTCAGTTTTAGTTCAGTTCTATTTCAGTTCTAGTTCAGTTCTAGTTCAGTTCTAGTTCAGTTCTAGTTCAGTTCTAGTTCAGTTCTAGTTCAGTTCTAGTTCAGTTCTAGTTCAGTTCTAGTTCAGTTCTAGTTCAGTTCTAGTTCAGTTCTAGTTCAGTTCTAGTTCAGTTCTAGTTCAGTTCTAGTTCAGTTCTAGTTCAGTTCTAGTTCAGTTCTAGTTCAGTTCTAGTTCAGTTCTAGTTCAGTTCTAGTTCAGTTCTAGTTCAGTTCTAGTTCAGTTCTAGTTCAGTTCTAGTTCAGTTCTAGTTCAGTTCTAGTTCAGTTCTAGTTCAGTTCTAGTTCAGTTCTAGTTCAGTTCTAGTTCAGTTCTAGTTCAGTTCTAGTTCAGTTCTAGTTCAGTTCTAGTTCAGTTCTAGTTCAGTTCTAGTTCAGTTCTAGTTCAGTTCTAGTTCAGTTCTAGTTTAGTTCTAGTTCAGTTCTAGTTCAGTTCTAGTTCAGTTCTAGTTCAGTTCTAGTTCAGTTCTAGTTCAGTTCTAGTTTAGTTCTAGTTCAGTTCTAGTTCTAGTTCAGTTCTAGTTCAGTTCTAGTTTCAGTTCTAGTTCAGTTCTAGTTCAGTTCTAGTTCAGTTCTGGTTCAGTTCTAGTTCAGTTCTGGTTCAGTTCTAGTTCAGTTCTAGTTCAGTTCTATTTCAGTCCAGTTCTAATAAGGAATAAAGCTTAAAAGCTATATTTTGCACTACATGTTTTGATAGAATTTTAGTTTGTTTTATCATGGTGTCTTGTAATTGCATTGAGTTTTATTTAATCCCGTTATTCTATGCGATAATACTCAAAACCCCGTTTTTCAAAATCCTGCTTTTCTCTAATCTTATATCCCGCTTTTAGTTAAGAAGCATCTGGTCACCCCAGTTAACTTTCTAATGTTACACACTGATTTAATTAAATCGTCATTGATTTTATAAATTTTCTTTATAGTTCATAGACATTTCTAAAAAAGAGATTCCGGCATTATTTGACCAGAAATAAAGTGAACAACCTTCAACTTACAAAGAAACAATGTAGACTGAAATGATTTATTAATTTGATCGCATATAATAAAGATAACTATCTAAGTATTGTAGTATGTATGTTGTGGTAACTCATAATACTTAATACAATTTAATCTTAGACAGTACTAGTAGTAGTACATATCGTGAGTATTACTTATAAATAGCACAATAAAATTGTAAAATGCAAATCCCTGACAAGAGTAAGAATACAAGAATTCTACAAATCAGTTTATATGCATACATTCATAAATACTCATTTCATTCATCTGATAAGATTTCTTTACTGTCATTTCATCTTAAATGAATAAAAAAGAGAATTATTCTTTTTCATTTAAGAGTTCAGAGCATCTTTAATGTCAGAAAAGTTTATGCTGTCGGTATATACGGGTCGCGCCATACTTCCATAATATGATTTCAATAAAAACAGAATTACAAACAACACAAATAAAGTGAAAAATGATAAATATATAATCGGAATAATAAACACAAAATACAATAATCACAGACAGATTCTGTAAATAATATAGAATTTAAGTGTTCAAAAATGGCTACAAATATTGCAAGTACCTTGGCTACGGCAGCGGAAATTATACCAAAAAGTTTTACCTTTGGTATCATCGATTATATTTTGTTCGTATTGATGTTGTGTGTATCGGCCGATATCGGTGTTTACTTTGGTTTCTTTTCGAAATCAAAAAATACTACAGATGAATATTTAATGGGCAGTAAAAAAATGAAAACTATACCCGTTGCAATATCATTAATAGCAAGGTAAACGAGTGCAGTTTTAAGGAATGAATAAAAACTTGTCTAGTCTTAGTCAAGTCTATAGTCTAGTCTATAGTCTAGTCTATAGTCTAGTCTATAGTCTAGTCTATAGTCTAGTCTATAGTCTAGTCTATAGTCTAGTCTATAGTCTAGTCTATAGTCTAGTCTATAGTCTAGTCTATAGTCTAGTCTATAGTCTAGTCTATAGTCTAGTCTATAGTCTAGTCTATAGTCTAGTCTAGTCTATAGTCTAGTCTATAGTCTAGTCTATAGTCTAGTCTATAGTCTAGTCTATAGTCTAGTCTATAGTCTAGTCTATAGTCTAGTCTATAGTCTAGTCTATAGTCTAGTCTATAGTCTAGTCTATAGTTAGTCTATAGTCTAGTCTATAGTCTAGTCTATAGTCTAGTCTATAGTCTAGTCTATAGTCTAGTCTATAGTCTAGTCTATAGTCTAGTCTATAGTCTAGTCTATAGTCTAGTCTATAGTCTAGTCTATAGTCTAGTCTATAGTCTAGTCTATAGTCTAGTCTATAGTCTAGTCTATAGTCTAGTCTATAGTCTAGTCTATAGTCTAGTCTATAGTCTAGTCTATAGTCTAGTCTAGTCTATAGTCTAGTCTATAGTCTAGTCTATAGTCTAGTCTATAGTCTAGTCTATAGTCTAGTCTATAGTCTAGTCTATAGTCTAGTCTATAGTCTAGTCTATAGTCTAGTCTATAGTCTAGTCTATAATCTAGTCTATAATCTAGTCTATAGTCTAGTCTAGTCTATAGTCTAGTCCAGTCTATAGTCTAGCCTATAGTCTAATCTACAGTCTAGTCTAATCTATAGTCTAATCTACTGAAAATAAAACTGATATACTTTTAATTTTTAGTCAACTTTCCGCAATTGCAATTATGTCGGTTCCCGCCGAAAATTACTCATTTGGTTTTACATATTTTTTTATCGTGTTGTCCTTAATCCCAGTAGTTCCGATCTTGAATTATATCATTGTTCCAGTATTCTACAACAATAACATATCAAATTGTTATGAGGTGAGTAGATCCAGCTTTTCGATTCTGGGACCGAATAACTAGTATTCAAAATCGGCCAAATTCTGAGTTAGATATACGCCATTTTCTCCAGATCTTAAAGAAATTTATAAAGAAACATATATAGTTTTATAACTTGATTGATATTTTACATCTTTAGTATTTAAAATTGCGTTTCAATAAGAGCACACGGCAATTGGTAACCGCATCTTTCGTTTTGAACGCCTGCCTCATGTTACCCGTCTATATATTTGTACCGGCTTTAGCATTTTCTCAAGGTAAAATCATACTTAATTTAAAAAAAAAAAACAACAACAACGGATTAAAATTCTTTTACTAACAGTAACGGGCATAAATATCCACATAATATGTTCAATTTGTATGTTCTATACCATGTTGGTGAGTATTCGGAATATGCCGAGAAATTTAAATAAAGGAATTGACTTTTACTTTTCACTTACTGTAGGGTGGTATTAAAGCTGTTGTTTGGACTGATGTAGTACAAGCTGGCATTATGCTTTCTTCGGTGATATGAGTGGCTGTTTTGGGTACTCTTAAAGTGGGTGGTCTAAACAAGGTTCTGGAATATGCTGATGAGGGTGGACGTCTGGATTTTAAGTGAGGTTTCATGCAGTACTTTTCAAATTAAAATTATTCTATATCATCTGTTTTAATATTTCAGCTTTTCAATGGATCCCCGTGTACGTTCGACCTTTTGGAATCTGTTTAGTGGTGGCATATTTGTATGGACGGGTCATATTGGACTACATCAGAGTTGTGTTCAAAGAATTGTATCTTTGCCTTCATTGCAACATGCTAAAAAGTAAGCGATAATTATCTTAATATTACAACTAATAAACTAATCTTTACAGGGATCTATTATAAATACTATTTTCAGAGCTTTACTTATAGTGGGTATTGGAGTTTTCACTATAATGAGTTTCAACTCTTTCATAGGACTGGTCATGTTTGCTCGTTATTTTGGTTGTGATCCCATCTTAGGTGGTGTAAGTTAATACATACATACATATTTTCCCGGTTAATTTCCCATTTTTATAACACTCTGTTATAGATCGTTGAAAAGGCGGACAAAATGATGCCTTTCTTTGTGCAAGATGTTATGGGCCATTTGTTGGGCATGCCTGGTATTTTAATTTCTTGTGTTTTTAGTGCTGCCTTAAGTACCATGTCGGCCATGTTGAATTCTTTAGCCGGAGTAGTATATTTCGATTACATCAAGCCCTTTATTAGGCATACAGATGCTCGGGCCAATAATATCATGAAAATATTTGTGGAGGCCATGGGTTGCTATTGTATATTGGGCGGTTTTGTGGTGGAAAAATTTACATCAATTTTACAAAGTATTATTACAATAACGGGCATTAATACAGGAGCAATAGTGGGGGTATTTCTGTTGGGCATGTTTGTGCCCAGAGTTAGTGGCAAGGTAAGATAGATATATTTGTTTAGGATCTTCCCGACATTATTGAATTCTATATATTTTATTCCAGGTGGCTTTCCTTTCAATAGCGTTGGTGTCATGTTATGGATCATTATCCATGCCCAAATGCGTTTTAAGTCAGGTTATATAAAATACGAAGCCCTGCCCACCTCTTTGGAGCGCTGTGAAGCACTCAACCTGCATGAAATGCTGCAAAAAAATGTAAGTTTTTGTTTAACTAAAGCTCATGATTCAAGTTATTAAACTCTTTTGTCTTTTTATAAGAACAAAAGTGCCTGTCTCACTGGCCACTACCGAGGAGCCTCTTGTCACCGGCACTTTAGTTAGTAATCGTGATTTTCTATTTACGAAGTATCCTTTTATTGGTATAATCTGATGGGTGTCGTTTTGGTATGGCTTTCGGCTATACCTATGAGTTATATTTGGAAACGTGTTAAGGAGGATAAAATGAATCCCAAACTGTATTCTCCCTTCGTTAAGAGTTTTCTAAATCAACCTGCTGTCGAAAAGGAAGAAATACCATGCTACAATTTCAATATCTGATCAAGAAAATGGAAATAATATCAAATCTTAACTTAAAATTTTAACAAAATTTTAAAAAAATGTTTTTTTTTTTTATTATTTACAAATTCACTATTATGAGTATTATTAGTTTTTTATTTAATTTTAAAAAATTTAAAGATTTTAGAAATGAAGTATTTAATAATAAAGATCTACAAATGTTTTTATCATGTTTACTATATAGATTTATATATATATATATATATATATATATATATATATATATATATATATATATATATATATATATATATATATATATATATAGGAATCAGTTCAAAAAATCAACATTGGGAAATTGAGGAAACTTTTAAATCATTACAGAGGGCCGTCAAAAGTATTGTTCTAATCACGCTTTTATAAAGCCATGGGATTAGGGCCCCATATCGTCCAGTCTACACCCGTAAACATGTCAGTTAAAATTTCAAGTTAACAAATAAAAATATGTTTATACAATTAACACTGATAAAACGACCTAAGTTTATCGTTATAACATTTTTACGATACGATCATAAAATTTTATCACACTTCACAGATTCGCCCAACGAAAATTATAAGAATTTTAATATTAACATTATATCTTAAACCGATTTGCTTCTGTTTCAACAGCTCAGACAAACTATTTCAACTTTAAAAAGGACCTGAGTCATCATGAACGTACATTTTATATCAAAATGTAAAAACTATTAAATCTAATATTTTAAATATTTTTAAGTAAAATTCACTCTGACTTGAAATTTTTTATAAAAAACGTTAAAGTATATTGTTTATATTTAAAAAGAAATTGCTTTAAATATTAATAAATATTTTTAGCTCTAATTTAAAAATATTCTTATCATTCTCTGAGAATTATTTTAATTTTACTTTTATTTATAAAAAAATAAAATAAATTTAATTTATTATGCGTATTAAAAGCAGAACGTCAACACTTTTGTGATAACTGACTACATCCAGGAATAATCTTAGAGTCTCTCGCTTGGTTTAAACAATGGAAATATTACTGGAATATTTTAAGATTTCAATATAATTAAATATTAATCAATTTTTAATAATATTCCATTTTTTTTTATTATTTTTATTTTTTTAAATTTAATATTATTACATATAAAGAATTAAATATAGTCTTAATCCAAACATATCTTAGACATATTTGGCCCAAATTTATAACACCGACGTCTTCTTCTTAACTTCAAATAAACACTTATAACGACTCCTGAAACATATGTTTGAAATTTTGTTCCATAGATAGATAGATAGATAGATAGATAGATAGATAGATAGATAGATAGATAGATAGATAGATAGATAGATAGATAGATAGATAGATAGATAGATAGATAGATAGATAGATAGATAGATAGATAGATAGATAGATAGATAGATAGATAGATAGATAGATAGATAGATAGATAGATAGATAGATAGATAGATAGATAGATAGATAGATAGATAGATAGATAGATAGATAGATAGATAGATAGATAGATAGATAGATAGATAGATAGATAGATAGATAGATAGATAGATAGATAGATAGATAGATAGATAGTAGATAGATAGATAGATAGATAGATAGATAGATAGATAGATAGATAGATAGATAGATAGATAGATAGATAGATAGATAGATAGATAGATAGATAGATAGATAGATAGATAGATAGATAGATAGATAGATAGATAGATAGATAGATAGATAGATAGATAGATAGATAGATAGATAGATAGATAGATAGATAGATAGATAGATAGATAGATAGATAGATAGATAGATAGATAGATAGATAGATAGATAGATAGATAGATAGATAGATAGATAGATAGATAGATAGATAGATAGATAGATAGATAGATAGATAGATAGATAGATAGATAGATAGATAGATAGATAGATAGATAGATAGATAGATAGATAGATAGATAGATAGATAGATAGATAGATAGATAGATAGATAGATAGATAGATAGATAGATAGATAGATAGATAGATAGATAGATAGATAGATAGATAGATAGATAGATAGATAGATAGATAGATAGATAGATAGATAGATAGATAGATAGATAGATAGATAGATAGATAGATAGATAGATAGATAGATAGATAGATAGATAAGATAGATAGATAGATAGATAGCTAGATAGATAGATGAGATAGATCGATAGATAGATAGATAGATAGATAGATCGTGCTGATCTAGATAGATAGCTGCGATCGATCGATCAGCTAGCTCGCTCGATTGATGCTCGCTCGATGTCTAGACCTCGTCGATGCCGCTCGATAGATAGCTCCGCTGCTCCTCGTAGCTAGATGCTCGATGCTAGATAGATCGACATAGATAGATAGAATTTGTCCTTTGGAGGATTCGCGTATTTGCATAGGATTCAGAGTATTTTAGAGAAGGTACCCATATGATGAACCAAGTATGTCACCAGTGAAGTAATCACGTGGGACTTAAACTAAGGTTCTTAGAATTAGGAATGGCACGAATTGGTCCCGATAAAGATAAAAAATAGTATATTTGATGTTCAATAGAAATTAAGAAGTTAAACAGCTTCTAATAACAAAAAATACTGGTTATTTGATATTCTAAAACATTCTGAAAAATTAATCTAGGAACCAATCGACCATTGTTATACCTGTACATGTACATATTAAACTGATTTCCTTTTTAGAGCCTAAAGAACTTTTTATATCCGTAATTCAGATAAACAAATACAACTGATTTGTACCAAATGTAGATTTAAATGATTTATTTGAATATTTACGTACACATCGTATATAATATAGATATAACTATTTAAGTATTATATGTATGTACTACCCATTCGTCTAATATTTAATATAATATAACCTTAGACAATACTAGTAGTCGTATATATACGTACGTAGATATCGTTAGTATTATAAATAAAATTGTAAAATGCAAATCCCTGGCAAACGTAAGAATACAAAATTCTACAAATCAGTCTATATATATATATACATTCATACATACTTATTCCATTCATCTGATAAGATTTCTTTACTGTCATTTCATCTTAAATTAATAAAAACAGAAGTTATTCTTCTTTATTTAAGTTCAGAGCATCTTTAATATCAGACAAATTTAAGCTGTCGGTCTAAACGGGTCATAACATTTAGCGGATTTTACGTAAACAGTATTAAAATTTTGCAAAATAACGGGGGAAAATGAATTATATATAATTGGAATAATTGAAAAGAACATAATTTAAAATACAAATTACAGAAAATTATATTTAGTCCTGTAGAGAATATAGAATTTTAGTGTTTAATAAAATGGCGACAGGTATTGAAAGTACCGTAGCTACGGCAGCGGAAATTATACCAAAAAGTTTTACCTTTGGTACCATCGATTATATTGTGTTCGTAATAATGTTGTGTATATCGGCCGGTATTGGTGTTTATTTTGGTTTCTTTTCGAAATCGAAAAATACTACAGATGAATATTTAATGGGCAGTAAAAAAATGAAAACTATACCCATTGCAATATCCTTAATAGCAAGGTAAACTTACGACTTAAAATTTAAATTTTTAAAGAAAAAATATTTAGAAAAAATGTCCTAAGGTTCAAAAAGAAGTCAAATCGGATAATATTTAAATTATAGATCTAATAAAGAGAAAGGCGGTAAACTACTGTAGAGACGCTAAATAAGTTGACAATTAAACAACGATCATTGATCAAGCGCACCGGGTCCAGCTATTTAAAAAAAAAATATTTTATTAACCCCAAAAATTTCTGCATTTTTGACATATCCTGTTTGGTATCTCTATTTACATATATTTTTATATATTTACATATTTACATTTTAATAATAACGTAAGTCTATTATAAATATCTAAAGATTAGATATTTCATAAAAAGTGAAAGAATAAACAATTACACTTTTTAGCAAATATTAGATCAATCATTGAAACACGAGTGAGCTAAAAAATAATTAAAAGCACTTAACACACAGGCTTTGACATGAAAACATATGTTCGTTTCATTTCTGACATCATTACTTCTTATATGATTCATTTATTTCAATACAGTTAAAGAATTTTAGCAGATTTTACAGCATTGTAAAATTTTAATATTTTTTCTTATACTATTTCCGATTAGTTCGGACAAAAACCTATAAACTAACCTATAAACTTTATGCTTTTTTGTATATTGCATCAGAAATTCAATTTCTGATAACTGAAATAGTATGACAAGACAACATAATCTCTTATTGTCTGAAACAAAATTTCTTACAATTAAATTTATGTGATTTTCTGTCTTGGAGTTGAATGTAACCTTATCTTTAAAGAAAAAATTATGCACACTTCTGGATTTGTTGATTTGAAATCTCTTTCGGATTGATTTGAAATAAAATTACTCATAGTAATTTTAAAATGAATATACTTAAAGCGGCTGTATCAAATTTTGTATAACCTCAAATAGTTTAAGACAGTTAATTAGTTAGTTAGTTAGTTAGTTAGTTAGTTAGTAGTTAGTTAGTTAGTTAGTTAGTTAGTTAGTTAGTTAGTTAGTTAGTTAGTTAGTTAGTTAGTTAGTTAGTTAGTTAGTTAGTTAGTTAGTTAGTTAGTTAGTTAGTTAGTTAGTTAGTTAGTTAGTTAGTTAGTTAGTTTAGTTAGTTAGTTAGTTAGTTAGTTAGTTAGTTAGTTAGTAGTTAGTTAGTTAGTTAGTTAGTTAGTTAGTTAGTTAGTTAGTTAGTTAGTTAGTAGTTAGTTAGTTAGTTAGTTAGTTAGTTAGTTAGTTAGTAGTTAGTTAGTTAGTTAGTTAGTTAGTTAGTTAGTTAGTTAGTTAGTTAGTTAGTTAGTTAGTTAGTTAGTTAGTTAGTTAGTTAGTTAGTTAGTAGTTAGTTAGTTAGTTAGTTAGTTAGTAGTTAGTTAGTTAGTTAGTTAGTTAGTTAGTTAGTTAGTTAGTTAGTAGTTAGTTA